CCCTGGCACATCAGAGCTCAGTACAGCTACATGGAGGGGTGTGAGGAAAAGCCATGCAGTTTGCAGATGCTTTCACCCAGAAAGACAGTAAAAACTGACACCTTTCTATGATTTGCACTGATCATTATGGTATTGTCAAACATATGGGAAATTAATGATCTATTTAAAATGTCTCCATTGGATGCTATAATGATTTCTTTCCAGTCAGAAATTACCACTATACTGGCAGCCAGTAAAAATTTTACGAAAAGTGTGGTAGATAACTTTATTGTTATGCACAAATGACTACATTAAATTCATTCCCAAGTACTTGCCCTAGAATTAAAATTACAAATCTCACCCTTTAACCTGCTTAGGAGCACAAGCTACTTCATCTATACACATGGTCTGACAAATTTGGTGGACTTCTGTGATGGGGTTACAGCAATGATGGATGAGGGAAGGGCAACAGAAGTCATCTACCTGGACTTGTGCAAAGCATTTGACTCTGACCCACACAACATCCTTGTCTCTAAACTGGAGAGACATGGATTTGATGGATGGACCACTCGGTGGATAAAAAAATTGGCTGGATGGTCACGCTCAAAGACTTGCGATCAACGGCTCGATGTCCAAGCGAAGTGATGAATGACAATCCTTGGGGGGCAGTACTGGGACACCTTTGTCAGCGACGCAGGCAGTGGGATTGAGTGCATCCTCAGCAAGTCTGCTGACTACACCAAGCTCTGTTGTATGATCAAGACATTGGAGGGAAGGGATGGCATCCAGAGGGACCTTGACAGGTTTGAGAGATTGGCCTGTGTGAACCTCATGAAGTTCAACAAGACCAAGTGCAAGGTCCTGAACTTGGGTCTGGGCAATCTCAGGCACAAATACAGGCTGGGTAGAGAATGGATTGAGAGCAGCCCTGAGAGGGACTTGGGGGTGCTGGTGGACAAAAAACTGGACATGAGCCAACAGTGCATGCTTGCAGCCCAGAAAGTCAACAGTATCCTGGGTTGCATCAAAGGAGATGTGAACAGCAGGTCAAGAGAAGTGACTCTCCCTCTCTACTCCACTCTTGTGAGACCCCACCTGGAGTACTGCATCCAGCTGTGGGGCCCACAAGAAAGATGTGGACCTGTTGAAATGAATCCAGAGAAGGGTTACTAAGCTTTTCACATGGCTGGAGCACCTCTCCTACAAAGACAGACTGAAAGAGTTGGGGCTGTTCATCTTGGAGAAGAGAAGACTCTGGAGAAACCTTAGAGCAACAGCCTTCCAGTATGTAAAGGGGGCTACAAGAAAGTTGCAGAGGGATTTTTTACAAGGGCATCTAAGGACAGGATAGGGGAGAACGGCCTTAAGATGAAGGAGGACGGTTTAGATTATATATTGGGAAGAAATTCTTTACTCTGAGGGTGATGAGACACTGGAATAGGTTGCCCAGAGAGGTTGTGGTTGCCTCATCCCTGAAGTTGTTCAAGACCAGACAGAATGGGGCTCTGAGTAGCCTGGTGTAGTAGAAGGTTGCCTGCTCTTGGAAGGGGGTTTGGAACTAGATGATCTTTAAGGTCCCTTCCAGCCCTAACCATTCTATGATTGTGTATTAAGCTCCTCTGCCAGTGCTTACCTGCATTGCTATGATTTAATTGTCTGTTTTTAACTAAGGTGCAGTACAAAACCTCTGCCTTAACTACACTAAAAACTACAATTCAGCAGCAGTGTGAGTCAGACATGTTTTGCTAGGAAGAGTTGTGCCAGAACACTCTACCAGCAATGTCTTTGATCCTTCCCTCAGCCACAAACCCCTTCTGACCATTTCCTTCCATAAGGATTCAGAGCCTAAGCCACGGACTGGGGATCTGTGAGATCCACAGCATATCTGAAGGGGAAGGCCACTTTGCATGTGTAAACTACTCTTTCCACAACTCTTGAGGAGCATTCTTTTTCTAAAATCTTCCTCATTAGTTCTTCTATCCTTGATTTTCCTGCCTCGCTTGTGCACTACAGCCCCACCATCTGAGAGGGCAATGACATTAACAGATGATGACTAGCTGGACTCGACCAAGATTTGACTTGTCTTGCAATGTTACTGGAGAATGCAATGCCCTCCCCTTCACTTCTCAAAATGCAAGGTTACAAAACCAAAAGTCACACTGTGAGTACAGAATAGAGCACACAAAACAGTATCCATGACTGCCAGAAAAAATGTCATTTGCATAACCAGTCATGGGGAAAGTGTTTGTCAAAAAGATACATTATTTTCCTGATACCAATCTGAAAATGCTAAAATATAAGCTGCTAAGCAGCATCAGCAGCACTGATTTGACTGAATGTATTAAAAAGATAAAGAAATGTGAATCATTCACTTAACAGGTATCCCACACCAGCAAAAGTTGGTTGCAGAATGCATTTTTGTTATTTTGAAGACAGAAGCTACTTGATGACCATGTGAAAAATGCCATGAACTTCTAGGATTTTATGACACACATTAAACCCAAACTTCAAGGTAGTTTAAACAACACAGATGAAGTTTCCCTTTGATTCATTCTTCCGTGAAAAGAATAGTTGATGAAACAGTTAGAAAAGGCATTACAGTTTTTTAGTGTGGGACTGAAGAATATGTTATGGTCACATTCTGTTACTCCTTTGCAGAAAAGGAGTCAAACGCAGCCTTAGTTTCACTTAGAAACTGATGCCCTAAGGAACTGGTAAAGATGTTTGTGTATCAACCAATAAAAAAGAACATCTGTTCTTTTCCGAGAAGGAAAAAGACAAGTAAGGAAAAGTCACTTTTACCTAAAGGTAAGCCAGACTATTTTCGATCTGCAAAGTCATCTCTCCTTGAATGTTACATACACACTCTGTCAGTTTAGGGTCATTAAATTTTTTGTGAAACTGGAATGATGTTCACAACGTCTGACAGGAATTCCTACATTCATTTGTCATTGCTATTAACTAGTGTTTTAAAAGCTTTGTCTGTCACAAAAAGAAGAAATGAATAAAAAAAGTATTAGAGCAACACATATAAAAATTCCAAACAACCAAAAAACCCCTGCAACTAAAATATCCATAGCAAAATGAAATGCAAAGTGTCTTTGCAGAAGCACACATTTAAGTTGTGAATACGTGAAAACCTGGCAATGAAATCATGAACAGCAAGTTGCTTTTGCACTACACTGAGGATCTGGACAGCTCCTCAAGAAATGAAAGCAATTACAATTTAACACCACTTGTAAACACCACTTGTAAGTCACAGAAACATAGCAATGTATGTCTTGATGCTGACACACAACATACCTCTTTATAACAAAGAAGAACTTGGGTAAAATGAGATGAAGTGCAATTATAATGAAGTTATAATCAAAACCAAGAGTGACCATAGCTCTCTAATGCCTGTCTGCTAAGCATTATAACAAACAGGACAGCATACACTTGTAACTACCATCATTTTTTTTAATGCTCTTAGGTGAGAACTCTGAAGCTGTCGATTACCTGAGAGGAAAACAACAATTCTCTGTAACCAAGCTTTCTCCTAGGAATGTGATTGATTTAACCAAACTCCAGAAATAAAATAAGTTTTTGGGGGGAGTGTGCAGGGGAAACCAAGAGACCCGCACATCCCAGAAAACAACCTCGTAACTAGTTGCCAGTCCAAGTTACAAATGTATAGAGGACTGATTTAACAATCAAGTCAGTCCTACTACCAACACCACATTTGGTTCACAATTGTGAAAAAGCATCATGGCAAAAGATTTAGAGAAACGAGGTCATACCCTATAGCCCAGTGATGGAAAATAAGGGTCTGGGTGGGCTAAATGCCTGTTCCTTTTATTTCTACGAAGCACTAAAACACAGAACTGAACAGTCCAATCCCTAATTAGGATGGAGAACCTTAGCACAGGACTCTTAAGCCCAAGCTGTTCTATGAATATCCACTTCATCACTTTTTACCAAATTAGCTTCAATGAACTTCATTCTCCACTCCCCAAAGAACTCAGGAAAAAACAGTATCCAAAACCTCAAAAACATAATGGGAGGGAAAAAATCCAGCCCTGCTTCACACTAGTGATGAAAATTTTGAAAATCCTTTCAATTATGTGTCAAATAATTTTTTGCAGGCATGTAATTATTTATTATAAGGTTCAAAGTCAAACTCGAGGCAATAAGAATAGGTATTATAAGATGTTGAATCTCAATGTACACAGATGCAAAGCAACTTCCATTTTTCTTTCCACCAGCTCTGAGAAGTTAGAGTATTTTCCTATCAATGATTAAGGAAGCAAGAATTAAGATGACTCTTACTTAAGAGCTTACTTCAGATTCCCAAGTTAAAACTTTCAGAAGAAAGCAAAGGAAAAATATGTAGAGTGCAGAAATTCAATCAAATGGTAATCTTGTTTCATAAGTAAATAAAGTTTCAAGTAAATACGGTGTAAGGACACAAAACAGTGAAAAAAAGGATTTGACTTAGATGCCTTTTCTTTTGGCAGCAGATCAAAAGGACTTTCAGAAGTTGCCTTTACTGAAACAGAACCTCTGCATTACAGGCCTAGTTTTGTATATCTTTCAAAGGCTTCTTGACTAGAATACTGTCAACTAGGAAGGGGCCTCTGGAAAATTCAGGCATGTACAATGCCTTGTGACCTCCCTAGTGTCTGTTTGGCCCTTTCCACTGATGAAAGAAACCAAACTTTATTTATTTTCACTCTTCGAGATGTGCATTCCTAAACTGATTATTTTTTTTAGTACAATGTCACATAAGTGTAGGTAGTATAAACTTAGAATTCTATACAACTTTACTTTTTCCTCAATTAAGAAATCAGAACCTAATTTAAAACTACAGGATCATAGAAATACCTATTCATTTTTGAAGCTACCAGTACATGAAATACTTAAAGAGCAAAACAGACAAGAAAAAGCAAAATATCAAGTTCCCACAGGCTACAGCTTCAACATTTCTTCTGATTTTTATCTCCTCATTGACAGGCAGAGAGGCCAGCAAACATTCAGCATACCTGCTCCGACTTCTTTTTCTTCTTCTTCAATGTTGTTTTTGATACTGTCGTACTCCTCATCGATTGCCTGGTTGCCACGCATTTGAGACAGAATTCTCCGTGCTCTCTGAGTCTGGCCTTTCTGAATGAGCCAGCGGGGACTTTCGGGAAGAAACAGGAATCCAAGAAACTGTATAACCGCTGGAACAGCCGACAGGCCCAGCATGTACCTGGAAATAAATAAGCAAATATATAAATATCTATTATTTGCCTACAAAAACATGCTATAAGAAGATTCAGTTACAGCTACTGAAACTGCAGTTTACAGATCAAATCTTCCTCTCTTCATATTCTTTCTCACTGTAAGTTAAGGGGGCAAGAATCATATATTCTGCAAGTATTTTAGAAAATATGACCCTTTCTTTCATTTCCAGGTAATCTGACGGATATGTTGACTATTCTACCACCACTGACTCTACGGCCACTGGTCCTGAGGACACTAAGTCAGACTAAATGAAAACCCTGAAATTTCACTAGTTTAGAAACTGATAAACCCTTCAGTGAACATAATCAGGAGAAAGAGAAAGCAAATGCGCAGAGAAAAAATGGGTACTGTTGATGTCAAAAATGAGACTGAAATACTGCTAATTATTTCACAGACATGTACAAAAAACAAACCCCAAAATTGGGCAAAAAAAACCAAATGCATAATTTGGTCAGTAATAGACATGTGGTTATTTTATTTTTGAAAACTTCTGACTATAAGCAAAAACACTGAAAAAAGATCATTTCACCAGCACAGCAATTTACACCAGATCTTTTAGAGAGTCTGCTTTTAAATCTTCAGTCAGATGCAATGTTAGGTTTTAAATCAAAACTGTATTTTAGATGCCCAGGGGGTTATTATTTACAGCCTTAAGGCTAGTTCTCTACTCAACAAAGACTTTCCACTGTTTGCAGAGTTATGTTTCCAAGAATCAGCACTGACACCTGGGACAACACTCAGGGATACCATTATTCAATCCTTTTATAGTGGGGTAAAAGAGTGTCAAAGACAAGCATACCATCAATTTTCATGGGTGGTTCTGGTCTATACACTCCATGTTTTTATATTCCTTCAATAAAACTCTACAAAGATAACAAGAATTGTGGAACAATGTATAATTTTGTTCTGCTTTTCAAATCTGACCTATTCCCATTTACACTTCACTGAGATTCTTTTCACTTCTATTAAAGAACTTAAACAGTGCTGGTATCACCTGTACATTATTTCACATCAGGAGATAGAATCACTAAAACACCTTGAGAAACCAGCCCCTCTGAATATTGATGTAGCCTGTACTCATAAACAGGTTTACACCTCAGTCAGGAGATTAAGGAGATTTGCTAATCTCTCCTCTATCTCCTCTCTTCATACCCCAGGATACATGTTTTCACACAGGTGAATCAGCAGACTCTCACCTGGATGTTTTTACAAAGTATGCTATGAAATGAGATTGCTAATAGAGCAGGAAAGAAAGAACAACCATTATTGAAAACCTTGTTTTGGGGCAACGAACCAAATCTATTTGTTAAGTCCAAATGCATTTTGAGTGAAAATGGAAAAACACTTTCTTAGAGGCATTTGTGGATTTAACAAAGAAAAATGTGGGCAGTACAACTGGCAGAAAATTGGAGAATGGTGAAAAGAACACCCAAAAGGCAATGCAAAGAGGACAGCCATCTCAGGATGATGTGCATGCCAGGCCAGCCTTCCCACCCCCAAGGTGAGCCCTCAAGTCTTTCTTAAAACCAGCCAAAATTTCCAAAAGCCATACAAGAAAATCTTGCTCTAGAAAGAACTCTGGGAGCAACTCTCTTATTTTGTAACACTTTAAGAATGGTATAGTTAATCATCAGTTAAAAAAAGAAAAGGATAAGGAAGAAAATAAATTAAAAACATAAAGCTCGTGGAAGGCTTATTAGCTGAGTAGTCTTCAGCCAACATATCTATGTCACTAATTCACCAATGTTCTCATGCCTCATTCACTACTGTTCTCATTCATTAACGTCCTCATTTCTTCCTACGCTCTTCTCTCTCCACAAGCATTTTGGTAACTGTATACAGAATTACCTTTACACATACATCATTGAAGCTCACCAAATTGTATATTCAATATCTTCATTAGAGTGGCATTTAGAAAGCCTTTTCTGTTTCAAATGAAGAGTAAAACAAGCCCATAGAGATTAAGAACACCATTGCTGTATTCTGTCAAACTGGAAACTCTTTAGTCCCTTACATGCAGCAGAGCCTCTACAACTAAGCAGTTGGGTACCTTAATCACCTCAGGAGGCAAAATCAATTGAGACTCCTGAAAGCTTGATCCAAGGCTGTTAAAGCTACCAGTTGGACTCTATTGGATTATTTATCACAGGCAAAATAAAAAAGAAATGTACAGAAAGTGCTCCCCCACTAAAGTCAGTTTCCAATACACAAACTTCTGGTCAAAGTTGAGGAGCAGGAGCAGGCCAGAAGGAAAACACTGAGAGTGTACATCCATTGCAAGTTCAAGAGCTGAAGCAATTTACAGATCAAGCCATTTTGATATAACCAATTTAGAGTAAAAGCAGGCAATTTTAGACATTTCATGCAGTGAGCCAGCTTCCAGAAATCTAATATAGTTCTTTCCTATACAGAGTACAAGACTTTGCGTTTGAAGCCAGATGTCTAGCAGACCTGAAAAAATCCAGCATGAAATTTAATAAGTCTGCTGTAACATTTCTTCTTCTCTGACATACTGCTGCAATACTATTAAGATGGCATTAGCAGGGTTTATAAAGCAAACCTGACATAAGGGTCAGGTTAAATATTTGTTTTCTTTGGTTTATTTTTAATTTAATATCCAGCATTTCCAAGAACAAGAGCCAAGAAAAAGTAAAGCTCCTTACTGTTTTTTTGCAGAACTCCAATACTTAGCCATTCAGTCACAAAGAGATACAGTAATTGCTGTAATTTTTCTTCTTATATGACTCAGGAGGGAACACTTGTGAATTCTCTCCGTGAGTTTGCTGGCCACTCCTTCCAGATGAGAGACCATCTGTACTCTTCCCTGATCAGCCTTAGCTTGCAATAAACTAGCTGAGGACAGACAGGTACACTGTCCCCAATAAACAGCTCCAGCATTGCAGCTGAGAATACCTGGATACCTCATCACTGAGGTGGTAGCCTGTTTCTGCACAATGCATTGTCAACAGTTAGACTGCACTCAATCCAAAAGAGCAGTACTTGGCACATATATAAAACACAGCATTACTACCTTAGCAAAAGTTATTCAGCATATGCTATCAGGCTGCAGAAACAATTGCTCCTCTCTACTCAGCACACAGTGCTGAGCCTGGAAAACTGGGACCACCAACATGAGAGAAAGCTACAAACCAGGAATAGCAATGGATCACTAAGATGGTTGTGCAACTGGAGTGTGTGACATAAAAGAAGAGGCTGAGAGAACTGGGTTTGTGCTGCCCAGAAAAAAGATGATCAAGTGAAGATCTAATTGCATCTTTCGTAACTGAAAAGAAGCTCATATAAAAGGAGAGAGACTTTCTCAAATGTTCCCTGTGAAAGGACAAAAGTCAAGTCACAAGTTGCAACATGGAAAATTTAGATCGAAGATGAGGGTAAACAATTCTTCACATTAAGAGTGACTGAATATCTAAGCAAGGTGTCTTGCAAAATGAAAACATCCATCATCGGAGATTTTCAAAAGTCAGCATCTCACACTGATCTGATTAAATAGCCAAACTTCCACGCTTACTCAATCCACAAGTTCTAGGTTTTACTCATAATTTTAATTTACTCAGTTCAGAAAGGTTAAAAGGCCTGAATTATAGCAGATTAGGATTTTTTTAGATCCAAACAGTAGAATAAGTTACACCAACGTAGACGGTCTCAGAACAGTTGTGCAGCATTTCAGTGAGTGAGGGCCCCATTTCTATTTAAGGTATAGTGGCATATCAAAACAGTGTTTTCCAAAAAGATAAAATCTGCATTTGACAATGATTATTGCCTTCCACTCAATCTTCTATGTTAATTAAACATATTTACAAAGTAACGTATCAAAAGATGGTAACTTCCTTGTGTCACTGCTTGATTTGGAAACATCTGATACATTCTATATAAAAACACTGGCTCTTTGACTGATCTTTTCCAAAGCAGCCTAGCAGTCTGCTTTTGAGCTAGAGAATCTATCTTAGTTTACCTGAACAACTAAACAAAAAACAATAACACCAATACTTGTCAGATATTTTGTTAGCTTGTATTTTTCTTCCAGTATGCTCGTATTTACTGAAATACACAGATTAAAACCACATCCTCACCTCCCAAATGTCAGGGCACTAATGGGAAAAAAAAAAGACACATATCCACAAAAGCTTCCTCCAGCTGAATCCCTGACCACTGAGGTAACCTGAACTCAAAAATCTGCCTGACCAGAAAGTACACAATGCCTCTAACAGTAACTGTGACTCAGAGCTCCATTTCTAAGTAAATACCTTTGCTTGTCTGTTTCTCCCACCCAGCCACATGCACAGGGAGTCATTATGTTAGCAAATTATTAAGACTAAGAGTTAATTTAAAATAATAAAGCAACTACTACATAACTGGCATCAAGGATCAAATAATTCAGTTTGTATTTCACTTAGAAATGCATTATTGCATGCCATTAACTTTTCTCAAAATTGAGCATATTTCTTTAACTGCAAAAAGGGATTTGCAAGTCTATGAAACTAAGTCGTTCTTTCAGTGAAGGATGTTCGTCAGTTCTCCATAAGTAGACATATAGCCAGAGAATGCAGCTGCATTATAATGTAAAGGTCATCAAAAATTTCATGTAAAATGCAAAATGCTATTTTCATTTGAGCTCTAGTACCCAGAATGCACAAAGCAGAGCTAAAACTTAAAATTCAATTAAAATTAAACAAAATTGGCATGAAGTAACCTTTTCCTTAAGGTCAAAATGTGATATCTTTTTACAAAAGAGATAAAGGAAACAATCAAATGGACAAAAAGTAAAAATCTCAAACTTCTGGAATCTTCAGTCACACACAGATTAAGCCATATATTCATTAAGAAAACATTAACTTTTTTATGTGTATTTATTTATATACTACGAAAAGATCAGCTTCCAAGTTCTTTTATGTAGCTGGTCCCAACTGATTTGTTCCTAACTTAAACCTCAAACATCAGCACACCTAAAAGTCCCTATTCAGCTTCATTAAAAGCCAGAAAACATAAACATATTATGTTTCCAGTTTTTGGGGATGGGGAGAGGATCCTTCAAATTAGAATGTTCCAATAGCAAAATGATTCCAAGCTGTAGCAACAGAAATCTAAGGCCCTACAACAACACGCATCCCTTTCCCAAGAGTGTTTCAAAAGAAAAGTACACATAATCAAGCATAAGTTTCCAAGAGTTGGAATGTAGAGTATAAGTTATTCCTCCTACACATTTCTGTTAATTGTTTTACTCAAGTCAGCTCTGCAATTGAAATACCGAGCCACTGAAATTTGTCATCTCTCTCAAATGACACATCACTACAAAGATAGCAGGTATAAGACTGCAGTCCAGAAACACTTAAGAGATGTCTACAGGAAGAACATAATATCCATTAAGTAGAGTAAAAGAGATTCATATTATCCTGTAACATAAACTTTAAACTATAAAGTTATGTTACAATATCCTTCACTTCAATTCTGATTAGATTACTACTGCTCAGATTAAGAATATTTAAAATTCACCTCTATTTTGCACATACAGCATCATACTTACTGGAAATTTGCCTTTCCAATAATCAGCACGTAATTATTCTAAATGTAAAAGGCAAGCTACTTTCATAAACATCATGACAATCATTCAAGCTTTTGATGTATATTTATTGCTCTTTCACTTCAAAGTTTAGTACAGTCATATGTGAATATTAAGCTTAAGTGAAAGCAGTATGGATCTATTTTGGCAAGAACTAATTATTAAAGTTCCATTCCAGTATACAGTTTGACCACTTCATATGTAAACAAGAATTATTATAGCTGTCATCCAAAACAAGACTATGCCAGTTTTCTTTTAGCGAGGAAGACTCACAAACCTCCACCCATCCTTTGCGAGGTAGCTGAAGAGTCCATCCACGACACTTGCAAAAAACTGCCCTCCAGTGATGAATAGCGTGTTAATGGTGACTAATCTGCCTCTTAAGTGCGGTGGAGCAACTTCTGCGATGTACACTGGCACAGTCATGGATGCTACACCTACAAGAATAAATTCAGTTACAGTTATAAAATCGAGAGAGACACTACATTGCTTTTTCATCATAAAATACCATTTTGTGCTGGTTTTGGCTGAGGAAGAGTTAATCTTCTTCATAGTACCCGGTATAGGGCTATATTCTGGATTTGTGCTAGAAACTGTGTTGATAATTCAGGGATGTTTTTTTACTGAGCAGCGCTCACACAGAGTCAAGGTCTTTTCTGCCTCACACCCTACTCCTCCAGTAAGGAGGATGGGGGCGCACAAGGAGTTGGGAGGGGACACAGCTATTTGTGCAGAAGACAGAAATGCCCACGAGGAACACACACACACAGAAACTGTAAAAACAGAGTTCAAGAGTATAAAGAGCAGAGTGGGGTGTGGCACATGCTTTGGTGGTTCAAATCCACCAACAAAGTTGCGCTCTCATTTAAAGCAAATTATATCCCTATTTCCTTAAAAGAACCAACAAGTAACAACCAACAGCAATTTATTTTGTAGTTAAAACTTTAAGTACATTGGCAACACACGCTCAAAAACACATTTCAGCTGAAGTCAGATGAGTTACAACTTGAGCATGGCAAGCACAGCCAAGCACCATCAGAGACGCCAAAACTTCCAGCCTGGGACAGCTCCACATGGACAGTCTCACACCAGCACGGGCCAGTGCCACAGCCTCGGCAAGAAAAGGGGTCAACTAAAGGCATGCACATGACTTCTGAAGCACAACTACAGTTCCTGGCTCATGTCACAGTAGAAGGGCTTCATCTTAAAATGGCAGAGGCTTTGGCCAGCTCCCCACTCCTGGCTGACTCACCAAACTAAGAGCACAAAACCATCTTTAGCAACAAGGTTAGCCTGTCAGGACTGCTGGGAGCCTCCAAAAGCTCAAGCAAGGAATATATATTGTTTAATAATAAAATGGCATCAGAAGATCCTTTGCTGAGACAGGTAAACACTCACAGCAGCCTCTCAGCATGATAACCCAGTTCCCAAAGAGCCTCTCAGGACACGCCAATGATGGCTCCTCCTCCTATTGACTGAGCAACCCACACGAAATAAAAAACCCACATAAAAGTGTCAAGAAAAAAAAAAGCATTAAAAATTTATTCGACCACTTTTCAAAGCCAACCAGAAGGCACCACGGAAAGAAGCATTCAAATAGTCCTTTGCATGTTTGACAGAGAAGCAAATTTTCAAGCACAACTCACTATTAGGGATATTTCTCTCGCACCTTTCATATCAGTATTTGAACTAATGATAATTAAAGTGATGGAGATAGCGCACATACAAGGGAAAAGCCTTTACAGGAAAGCACAGGAGTGTGTCTGTCTGCTGCAAAGAAAAGCCACTGAGGATCCATCCAAGGCAGTGGCTGCCACTGGGGCAGAGGGGAAGTGCCCTACGGCTGTGGCTGGGCTTTCCAGCTGCCCCAGCCACCCCTCTGCCTTGGGCGTGCCACCCCACATGCCCATGCTCATTCCCCCGCTGCAGTGTGGCAGTGTGGCCATCTTCCCATATATCTTAACATACGGTCCCAAGAAGGATATCTTGAACATGGGTAATGATGTAGTGAGGCTAATTTGAGAGGTAAAGATGGCAACATCTGCATGTGTTTTTCACTGTAAAGCACTATGAAACCAAAACCAATATATGCTCTGTAAAAAAGCTACTTTTCCGCCCTCATTCAACTATTAATGAAGACTGATTTTACATAGAACCTGCAGAGAAATCTTGTTCAAAACATACCAGACAAAAACGCTTCTCAGGCATCCAAAAAGTAGAGCCATGCCATTGACCAGACCATCAGCTATCACTAATGTTCAGCACACATCATCAGCCCTGAGACACTGCTAGAACCACTGCTAGCCACAGCTAACATGACACTTGCTATATACAAGTGAAACTAAAGCTTGTTGCATAACATAAGGGTAGTATGAAAGTTAACATGTCGGTGAACAGTCTTGAAGAAGAGGCATGATGACAACAGATTTACTGTTTCTGCTGCATTCTTTCCACACAGTTAATGGCTACAGGAATAAGCAGAGAAAGGGGAAGTTTGCACATCTCAAGCGAGTGATATCTGTTATCCAGATGGCATTAATACAATTGTTGAAATTATTTATTATCAAACCTGCAATGAACAGAATAATATTTGTTAGGGAAGCCTAAGGAGTTAAGAGTATTAGTTCAAAATCACACAGAATTGTTTAGATTGACAGAGACACTGGGAGATCATCTAGTCCAACTGCTGTTCATGCACGGTCAGCTAGAGCTGGCCGTCCAGAACCATGCTCAGTTAGACCTTGACAATCTCCACATGTGGATCTCCAACCAAAATGACTGTAATTCTGCGGCTTCCACGCCAGCTTTTTCACCCTGAGACTTCTCACAATGTTGCTGTCAGAAGTAGCCTTTCTGGATTTCTATTTAGACCTTACTTCCTCTACTGTGCGTCCCAAAACCTGTAGGTTCAAAACATCCAAGCAAAAGCCTCAATTCAGAAGACACATTTGTTACGTATTTTCAGTTATCATTTCAATATCAAAACACATGCTTATCTACTCTGAGTCCGAAGAGTGCAGCAGGAAGTTTCAGGAAACAGAAGGAGGCAATTAGGAAAGCCTCCTCCCTCAGTTTATCTGACTGCCATCCAGCAAGCACTCACACACAAAAGCAAAGTTCTTTCTAAAAATACCCAACGTGAATAAAAATGGCTATTCTGAAACAGATCAAATGAAGGGGAAAAATACTATCACTTTAAGGAAACAATGCTTTAGATTCTATAGTGGTATTTACATTCCTGATTTGCTTTTAGTTGCCTTAGAATGTGTCAATGTTCTCCAGACTTTCCTCCTCTAATTTCAATTTAAGACACACTAGACCATAGGACAGTAAGTTCCTGTGAAACGGCACAGTCAGAAGCAAGGCATTAAATGTTAGCCAAGTATAAAAATCTCTAAAATACATAACCAGTATTTGTTATGTGATTACTTTAATAGCAAGATATTAAAGAAATTTGAAAACAAAGAGCAGCTTTCCTAGGAAAACAAATATGGCTGCAATGGAATCTTTCCTTAATCTTTCATATGAGAATGCTTTCATTTACACTTTCTAATATGCTCTCACTGTTAAACTGCTCACACCAAATAAAAGATTCTTGCTGCAGGCAAGTATATTACTACCTAACTAATAAAGCTGATAAGTGACAAGACATGGGAAAGAAAATGAAAACAATTAACTGGAAATCTGTCAGAGGAGGTTGTGCACCACAGTTATGAAATCTGAGACGAGAGCAGGCAAGTCCCGTCTCTCTCCACTTGAGTAACCAAGACATGAACATTTTGTCCTCATTAAAGGATATAGCTTAGAAAAACATAACTGAAGGTTCCTTAAATTTAGACCAGAAGATGCATCTAACTATTATACAGGAAGCATTAAATCACACAATGGGTTGAAATCATCGTATTAAATGTTTTTTCACTCCTAAAATCACTTAGGAGACTAATTATTAGGGCTCCTCCTATAATCTGCAGATTTACCACTGGAAACCAGAGACAAGGCAGTACACAGCTCAATTTTAGGACAATCAATAAAATGCAGGCGTGAAAAGACATTTTAGAATCACATTACCATCCAGAAAGGTATTTCCAGTATGTACATCTAAGCATAATAAAAAATTCATTAAGAAATTCAGGAATGAAGTCAGTAAACCTACTGACAGGAGAGATAAAATGGTCAATGAAGGAGAACTCCTATGATAATTGGAATTAAAATCATATTTTAAGAAATGAGATTAGGTAGCAAAACACAAGGACTAACGAAGGAATCAAAGTTCTTGTTTATAAAAAGCATTTGAGAATAAATGCTAGGGAGACGGAATAATTTTAAAGATTTTTTTTTTTTTGCAAGATCACATGGATATAAATGTACCCCTGTCCAGATCAGGACTTACACTACAGTTCCAGTCATGTCTCTAGCAGATAGGAGGGAAGGTGCATCATAAAAACAACAGATGAGCAAAAAAAGCTGGAGACAGCATATTGAATGAGATCCACTTTTACTTCTCACATAATAAAAAAGCTCTAAGGTAGTAGGAATGTGTCAGTCATTTCCTTGGCATCAGCCAATAACCAGTGTCAGAAGCAGCAAAAACATAGGGAAGGATTCCCGACAAACTGTTGTTGTTGCTGTTCAGATTACTACCAAGAAGGTTCATGAACGCAGGAGACGGGTGACAAAAATTGGGTAACTTTAAAAAAACCCCTCATGCGACTCAATTAGCCTTTCATGTTTAGGAATAAAGAGTTAATAAAGGAATAATGGTTAACTAGAAGTGCTAAGGAAGCACATCGAGGAGCTGGTGTCTCTTTGCACCATGCTTTTGTCCCTCTTTCTGTCCAGCACATGCTGGCCCTTTGCATTAACACCAGGTAAACCAGGGAATACTATCAGCTAAAAGGATATCCACCTGCCTGTGGAGGGGTTTGTACCACTTGGCTCCCTTAAACAGTTCACAATGAGATCAAAAGACTGTACTGGCCCATAGGCAGGAATAGGTATGACAATGGAGTGGCATGAACTGTCAAAGGACTCAAGACTGTCCAGCTGGAAACTAAAATTAGGATATGAAATAATCGAAATAATCAGAAAAAAAAAAAGTGAAGATATCACTGTTTTTATTTGAGATTAAAGCAATTCAGCCATTAATCTCTATTAACAACAAAGAACACACAGAGCTCATTATAGAAATACGTAGTTAGGAGTTCCAAATGAAAAGGTAAAAATAAAAGTTAAAAACGGTTTAGAATAGTCATGGGAATGAGGCATCCTTTACTAACATATAAAACTGTACTGAGGTACTTCACCAAGGCAAAATATTTCACATAGCTTAGAATGAATTTGTAAGAGCAAGTTTTCATCAAAATGTTAAACTTTAATGCTACCAACTTTAAAATTCACTTAATTAAAAAGCACCCTATAATGATTTGTCCTGCTTATA